CCTAGGTCAAAACGATGTTTCCAGGCGTGTTCTCCGGTTAATTTTACATATAGTACTAGTTTTTTATAAGAATCAAAAAATTTTGATTTTTGGTCAAAATCGGATATAGTGCTTATACTTTTAGCCTTATTCTTAAGTTTATTACTCAATATCTCAAAAACTATGCATCGTAGAGTATTCTAACTAGTTGCATCGTGTTCAGCGAGTAATTTTACGTCTAGAAAACCATATTTCAACCGTTTTTACGACTTAAGGTAAATTTTTACGATTTTACTACCGCTCACCTTCAAAAACTCAAAAAATTCAAAATTTTTGAAACTTGACCCAATAACATTTTATGCAATTATTTGAGTCTTTAGGACCTCTAGAAATGTAAAAAACGTAAAATGGATCAATTTTAAAGTTAAAAATTTTTTAGATTTTTGTCGAGATTTTGGACGACTTTTGGCACCCCGAGCGGTCTAATACCAATAACTCCGGACTTATTAGAGATAACTTCTTATATTTGGTACCATTGGAAAGACAATTTAATTTTCTATCATATACAAAAAAGATCAGTGTTCTAGAATAAATAGTTATCGAGAAATTTTCTGATAAAGTCAAAAATATTTTTTGGTCAGAATCTACTTCTACTTCTTAACTTTATTACTCAATATCTCAAAAACTATGCATCGTAGAGTATTTTATCTTATTGTATCGTGTTTAGCGCGCAATTTTACGTCCACCAGAAAACCACATTTCAAACGTTTTTTTGACTTTTCACAAATACAAAAAAATTACAATTCAAGTTGAGTTTTTTTTTATTCTTCCCTAATTCTCTCTCGTTAGTTTCAAGTGCGTTCTCATAATCCGAACAACATCTCCAGCTTTGCATAGTGATTATCTCACCAGCTTAGCACTTTTTCACCAAACTCTCTCCCATCGATCGTTCCCGAGTCCATGCAATTAGTTTGCCTCAATAATCTGATAAAATTTGCATACTATTGAGTTCACAAATTTATTTAGACACTCCACTAAGCATACAACCGAACCGAAACCCTGGCATTTACCCCACTGTCTTCTTGTTTCAATCACAAAAAATTGCCAAAAAAAAATTTCAAAATTTACTGCAAAATTGGAGTAAAAAATTGTGTTTTGTTACTTTTTTGATGTAGATTTTTATGACAATGTTTTTGAGCTAAACTTTTATTGGTCGATTTTGCTTAGTTTTCAAAATAAGACGGTTTTTTGACGAAAACATGCATTTTTTAAAAATTTATTACACAAAAATTAAAACATTTAGAAATATTTTTTTTTTACTACCGCAAAGAAGAAGGTACAAGCCATAAGATTGTAACATTTTTTTAGTGTTTGCATTTGCAAAGATAAAAAAAAATGAAGGCGTTTGTTAAAAGTTTAATAACTTAAAAAAATTAAATGGAACACCCGACTTATTGTTTTTGCATTTAAAAGATTAATAAATTGTCTTTCTAAAATTATTACTTTTAGGTGATTATAATCAATAACTAAAAAGATATTTAAACATTAAAAAAATAATTACAATTGTTTCAGTAGCCAAAAAGTGCACAGTTGCACAAGAGATGGAAGAAATATCATTTA